TAAGGAGTAAAATGTCTGTTTTATTTTAGCTCCTATACCACATTATAAAAGGTAGAGTATGGAAAATTATGAAAGGGAACAGAAAGTGCCCTGAGGATTAGATGAGACTCAGAGTGTAGATTGTGTAAAGGAGATAGCCTGCCCAAAGGACATGTGTAGGAGGTAGCATGTCCAAAAAACATATTTTAAAATTTTTCTTTGTTTAAAACTAACAATCCTGAATGGTGGCTTCCAAATACTCTTTTCTCCTTTTAACCTTGTTTTGGTTAATAAAATAAATGGCACTCAGAGTCCTAAAGCAAGAGCCCAGCCAAGACTCTGTGTGAGCTTTCACTCTTTCTTCACTTCTCCAGATACAGAATTAACAAGCTGCCTTGTCAGTTCATTTCTCCCATCTGTTCCCTTCCACTCATTCATTCAGAAATATTTTGTTTCCTAAATCTAACCAGTGCCTGGCACTTAGAAGATGTTCAGTGAGTGTTGAATCAATAAGCCTTCCACATTGACACTAAAGTTTTTCTAAGTGATAGCTCATAATTATGCCAGTTTTCCCCTGAAAACATATTCGAGGATTGCCCACTTTTTATGGCATACCTGCTGTGAATCATTGTCAACTCCTGCCAAGTGTATGTATTGTGAAAGAGAATTTTGCCCAGTCTTGAATCATCTTAACAATCAATAGCATGTTGCAGCCATCATTGTGTTGCCTGTGCCAAACTCCCTCACTGAAGCTCTCCCTTGTTTTCTTTTCCACCAAACATGATGTCCTCCTCCAGGACTAATTATTTCTGATGACAGCAAACTTATGGAAAGCATATAAGTCAGAAAACATTGTGGGTTTTTTTTTTGTGATCCATAAGAGTTCACTGATTTCCCTAGATAAGTCAAGTACTACTAAAGAAGAAAAACAAAGTAAAAGGTCTTACACATTCTGATCTTAAAGCCTACCACACAGCTACACTAATAAAAACATCCTGGTACGACTACATTGACAGATACACCAGTGGACTAGAATTGAGAACTCTGAAGTAAATCCAATCACCAGTGGGAGGCTGGTTTTTTACCAAGAGATGATATCCATTAAAGGAGGAATAGATAGGCTCTAACAAATAGTGCTGGCAAAACTGGATATCTACTTGCAAAAAATGGAAAGAAGATCCATACCTCAAACCATATAAAAATGCACATAAGTTGGATCAGGGATCTAGGTGTTAAATCTAAAAATCTATAGAGAGCATCTACCAGTGGCTCTAAAGGAAGGAAATAGACCATCTCTTCACATGTGATTTCCAACCTCAGAAACACAATGGAGGAGCAGCCATGAGTTGGTTCCAACTAGATAGCGATGAGGTGAGGGGTATTTGCTGTTGTTATTGTTTTAAAAAAACATACATTTCATTAAAGAATAAAAACAGATGAACTTATTTCACAAATAGACTATCAAATGTAATGTAAATGCATGATTAGCAGAGAATAAACTTTAAAAATTAAATCTTCACATGTGTAAAATTACTTCTCCCAAACAGTAAAAGGAAACCTATTGAAGGGAAGGATCTAAGACAGTGATATATCTGACAAGAACCATACCTCTAAAGTTTACAGAAACTCCATGAATTCAACAAGAAAGAGATAACCCAATTACAAAGGGACAGAAAACTTGGAAAAACATTTCACCAAAGAAGATACCAAGAAATACTCAAGAAAATTAGCTATCAGAGAGAGGCAAGTTAAAGCAACAATAAGATATTATCTCATCCTAGCAACAAAGCTAAGCTCAATACAACAGAAAACAATAAATTTTGGTGAGGTTGTGAAGAGATTGGAACCCTCATACCGTCGTTCCCACTCCAGTGGAAATATAAAATTGTGCAGACCCTAAGGAAAGGAGTTTTGGTACTTCCTTGTTGTGTACCACACAGTTGGAACCAACATATATCTGACCCTCAGTGAGTTTTCATAGGCAGTAAATCACACAGGAGGAGGTTGTCCACCTTTTTTTTCCTGGAGAAACTAGTGACTTCTAACCACTTGCCTTTGGGTTGACAGCACAACTCCTTACCACTAAGCCATCAGAGCTCCCTTGGTAATTCCTTAGAAAACTGGATGTAGAAATACCACTTGATCTACCCATTCCATTACAGGTATATACCGTAAAGAAATAAGAGCTGTGACATGAACAGATATACACACATCCAAGTTCATTGTAACATTATTTATGATAGCAAAGAGATGGAAACCATTCAAGTGTCCAGTGAACAAATGAATAAAAAACCTTTTCATTTGAAAAGTAGATGATCCTGCCTTTCTTCTTAGTGTGGGTTAGCTTGGAAGCTCCACTAAAATTTATCAATTGTGAGTGATCCTGCTGGTAATTGAAACACCAGTGGTATAGCTTCCAGCATCACAGCAACACTTGCAAACCATCACATAGAACAGACTTATAAAGGAGTGGTTGTTCTCTATTTTTCCCTTGAAGAGCAGCTGGTGGATCCAATCCACCAGCCTTTGAGTTGACAGCGCAATTCCTTATCACTAAGCCATCCAAGTCTTATGTTATGTTGTTTTTTTGTACCAATCCATAGATGACCCTCCAGTGGATCTTCAGAGACAGTAAATCATACAGAAGAAGACTGTTCTTCCTTCTCCTGAAGAGCAACTCGTAGATTCAAACCACATGCCTTTGGGATTGCAGTGCAGCTTCTTAGCCCTAGGTCACTGGTCCTTTATTTTATTTTTACTCTTGTTTGTTTCACTTTTCGTTACGGTAACCCTCGAAGATTGACCGTATCTGTATACAAACCTTTTTTTTTAGCTTTATATACTGCTGGCCTTATAATTGTACTTTTGTGACTGTCACTCAGCATAATTTGTTTTCGTTTCATCCATGTTGTGCAGTATTGCATAAATTCTTAATAGTTTTTCAGGGGTGCATTCTATTCCATTGTATGAGTTGATAACATTTCTTTAGCCCTTTGACCATTGTTGAGCACTTAGGTTGTTTACAAATCTTTGCTATTCAAAACAGTGCTTCAACAAACATGGGTGTGTGTCAGTGTGTGTGTCTGTGATGTATACCTAGTAATGACATTGCTGGACCAAACAATATCTTTATTCCCTACTTTCTAAGAGTGTGTGAAACTGCCTTCCATATAATAGCTGCACCATTTTTACATTCCCACCGGCACTGTATGAGAGTTTCAATCTTTTCACATACACCCTTGCCTGTTTGTTTTATTGAACAGTGCTATTTTTGCTGAGGTGAGATGATATTCAATTTTTTTTCTTATTTACATCTGAGGATGTCTTGTGTTACTGAGAGTGGTTTGTAGAGAGTTGTGCAACTAGGTGGTACCTTTCTGGTGGTTCAAACTCACCAGTGGTTCTAAGGGAGAAATACGGAGAATCTCTGCCCACTGGAAGGACAGCTGTGGACTAGTTCTGACTTGACAACAATAACTTTTGAATAGTTAATGACTTTAAGCATTCCTTCATGTGCTTGTTGGCCATCTGAATGTCTTCTTTGAAGTGTCTTGCTCAGGTCTCCTGCCCGTTTTATAACTGGGCTGTTTTTCTTTTCCTTGTTGAAGCATTAGAGTTTTCTATATATTTTGGTGATGAGCCCCTTGTCAGATGTTTAAGTATTTCCCCTCAATCTGTAGGTTCTATTTTATTCTTTTGATGAGCATAAAGATTTGATTTTTAGGAGGTCCCATTCCAACTTATCCTCTTTTGATTATTCAGTGGTTATATTCGACAGTTTCTTTATGTTCAGGGCTCCTCACATCACCTTTTATCTTTGACAATTTTTAAAGACTTTCTATAAACAGGGTTAAATAAGCCTAAGCCCTATGCTCCTGTGAAAAGAAGTGGGTGTTGAACTTCCTGTCCTACCTATTGGCAGAGGCAGCTTGTGCCCACCAAAACTTGTCCTTGGCTTCCATATGTTTCTCAGTCTCACCTCCAGGCCAGGGGAGTACTGAGTAGCAAGTTCTGGTCAATGGACTCTTCCTGTGAGTTCATGCCTCCTAAGGTCCCATAACACCAAACTTTGCATATGTAATGTACTAAGCCAGTGAAGCATTCTGAGTTTATTATATGTTACCACAGCAGTGCCTATCCGCTTCCTAATCCACAGATCTTTGCTTTTGCTAGTCCTTCTGCCTAGAGAGAACTTTCAGTCCTTCTGCATAGAGACATTGTTGCTTTCCTTTCTCTTCTGTCAGTTGACATTTTCCATTAAAATGTTTATTTCTTATAACTATTTACACGATATACCTTTTTTTCTGAATATTTAACTGTAATATGACCTCCCTGGAGAACATCCAGCTGGACGAGAGTTAGTCATTTCCATCTTTCTCTCCTGTCACAGCACTGTCATCAGTTCATTTCAGTCCAGAGTGCAGCCTGACTGACAAGTGGTGTCAGAGTTTACCTCCCACACCTCACCATGATACTCAGAAAGTAAGGGGCGTGTCTGTTTAATGAATTAGTTATGTTTCCTACAATTTGCTTAAATGAACCTTCGTAGTTTAGGGATTAAAATATTTTACCTCTGAAAGGTACATGGTTTGAGATGTGGAAGTATGCTTCCATAAAGCACCGTCTTGGAAACTACATAGCACAATTCAACTGTATTCCATAGAATCACTGTGATGCAGCTGGCTCCAATGCAATGGGATTTGGGGAGTTTTTATTTTTTCTTAATTGTTTGTTTTTACTTAGCATTATGCTTTGCAGTCAGAAGTATTAAGTGTGCAGCTAAAATGAGAGAGAAACTGTTTAACTCCCGTGTATGAAGAAAAAAGGCAGACAAAAACTTGGTTATCTCAACTCATGTGTTTGGCATGACTTTCATTCAGGTGTTCTGGCTGCTGGGGAATGGGGTGGGGAAGGACTCCTAAACCTGATGATAGTCATGCATTCTGCTTCTGGAGCAAAGCAATGGCCTGTCAGCTGTTGGAGGATCTAGACAAGAGTCCCTGCAGCTTCCACCTATTTACCTGCTGGGTACCACTGCAACTGGAACAGTTGTCGCCATGGTAACCTCAGTAATCAGACACAGCGACTGTGGTAGTGAATGAGGACATAAAAGGCATAAAAGCAGGCGAATTAAAGGCAAAAGTACACAATTAGGTGAACCTCTGCAATCCTCTAACTGAATAACAATGTCCATTCACAGTGATTCACTCCCTGAGGGCATTCTGTGTCCAAGGTGACCCACTACATGGCTGGGGTGAGGCTGAAGAGGAAAAAATCTTATGTTTCTGTGTGCTCATGTGAAATACAAAGAAGTTGGTAGTCCTGCCAGAGAAATTCCCAGCAGAGTTCCCAGCCTAGCTTAGTAGAATTGTCTACAAACCTACAATGCAGCACACAGAGAGTAGCCCGCTCCCTGCAGTTCTGCTCTCACCTTCTCATGTGTTCACACTTGGCAGTGCCTGAAGGATTTTGGGAATTGTGAATATCATAGTCAAACAATGTTATTGCTCATTTTTAAATCAATGAAAGGGGGCCAGGGTCTGTCCACATAGAATGTTAGGGTCTGGGTTGCCTGCTCTGGGGTGAGGTCAGCCTGCATGTGTCTGGGATACTAGGATATGTGTCTCCTCCCCAGGCCACCACTCCTATAGATTCCAAGGGAACCCTCCCTAGAAAAGCTTCCCTGAGGGATTGGGGATGGGATGGAGTGATGCCCTCAGAGCCAGTACTAGGGGCAGTGGAGAGCAAAAGGGCAGCTTAGCTGAGACTCTAGGTGTTTGTTGCTCTCTTTCCTTCCTCCACTAAATTCTTGATCCTTGGAGAGATATCCATCTTAGAGTGACAAAGTTTAAAGTTCCAAGAAAAGTATGAAGTAGGGAAGCTATGAACTGGCAACTACTGGGGTGGAAATGAGAGTTCCTTACTCTGTTCCGATAGGGGAGGAAGATGGAGCTGGGACACAGTGAACTGAACTGAGGCCCTGGCAGGTGCCCTTATCCGGTTAGAGGATTCTGTCACTTCTCTGAGATACTGGAATATTAACTAAGCCTATTGGCCTCAAACGACCAAGACCAGGGATTCGGATTTTATTTTAAGAAAAGTGTATTTTCATTTAGTATAGTAAAAAGAAAAAAAATTATTCCTGGATTTTTCTCCCTACCCCCCCCCCCCCCCCCCCCCCCCCCGCCCCCCGTCTCTTTCCCGACCCACAAGTCTGAACAGAGTCTGGCTCCTCACTCTCACCCCATTCCCAGCGGCTTGATCTCTCAACCAGGCCAGGCGCGACTCCCCTCTTGCTGTGCGGATTGGGAAACCCTCCTTCTGTCTTTGATGGAGAGCAATGGGCGCAAGAATGCAAGGATGTCTGGGGGCGTTCATTCCTGGAATGTTTCATGGTACAGGATGTGGGGAAAGGTGCCAATTGTGCATGTATGTCATGGTTGAACCCCTTTAATGTTCCCAACAGGATCTAGCCTGCTCCTTTCGCCTTTTGCCAGAAGGCTCAGTGAGCAAAGAAAGTGAGTAGAGTGCACCAGGTTGGGGAGGGTTGTTAGAGCAGATTCTGGTGTAGGCCCCTACTTCTCTTTCCCCTCTTCACAGACACTAGTCAGTTTCAGCACCGAGGGGGCTTCGGAGAGCACCATGCAGGTTTCTAGCCCTTTCCCCACTCCAGGCTGAACTTCTTTAATCCTCCCTGTGGCAGGAATCTGCGCCCCGAGCACGCTTCGCAACACCCTAGAATTCCCAGCCCTACAGCCCCTAAAAGCCTTACCTCGCCAAGTTTGAGCTTCTAGGCTGTGCGCTTCCGCCTGTCTGGAGCGTCTCCTCTCTTTCTGCGGGTTCTGGCCAGCAGCTCCAGCTTCACCTCCTCCCTCCACAGCTCCAGCCCCAGGACCCTCCTCCAGGGACACCGGAAGGAGTCTGTTGCCTCTTGTTCTGGATGAAAAGTCAGGCGAGGCTCTGGAGCTTCAAAGGCGGTCCCAGAAGAGGCAGAAGTCACTGGTTCATAAAACCATCCCCATAAGGATAACAAGACAGGCGTAAGTAAGGACGCAGAAAAATTCGTCTCTTGGACTCTGGATCTTGCTAAAAAGTGATTTCCAACTTGGACTCCTTCCTGGGATGTTTCACCAGGAGAATAGTCCACATTGGATGAGAGGTACTGAAAATCTAAGAGTTTACGGTAGGGGTGTGTATGTGTGTGGTGCGCGCCCGCCTGTGTACATACGTGTAAATATTACAAAGTTCTTTCTTTAAATGTTGGGCAGTGTATAAATGTATATTTGTGTGTGTACATACCGGTGTGTTATGGTCTTGTTTTTCCTTTCTTCAGGATATTGTTTACTCTCTTTGCAGCATTTCTTTCTGTTGCATTAGAGAACATTAGATTCTTTGAATTGAAAATTAGAACCTTAAGTATTCAATCAGTACGAAACGCTGGTGAGGATAGTAGTTAAATCAGATTGCTAATGAATAGATAGGCAGTTAGAAACCACTAGCAGAGAACCCACAGAAGAGAAATGAGACAGCTTTAGCGCCTCAGAAACCGATGGAGGGTCCTTAGGAGTCAGAACCAACTCTACCAGCAGTAAGTTTGTTTTTCTAGTATAATACAATCAGTATTTATTGGGCTCTATAAAAGCTAACAGACTCAAATCTTTTTTGTTTTTTTTGAGAAAAGAGCTTCACTTAAAGCCTCCACATTTCCTCAAACTCATTTTCACCACAGAAAACATATTTTTTTTAATAATTTTAATGAACATTTACAGATAATTTGGATTTCCATTCATTCATTGCTGCACTTCTCTACCCGCCCAGCCCTCTTCCCCTACCCCCCAGTTCGCTCCTCTCTTTCAAAAGTAAAAGACTCCCTCCCTGGTACATAATCTCCCCGCACCCCTCCCACCGCCCCAAGTACATTCCACTATGCAACCTTAATTGTGGACTGTTGTGATAACCATAATACCCTATCATATTTTAAGGACACATACACCTTAATTAAAGAAGAAGGCTCAGTTTCATCTACTACTCATTGAAGAGCCTGAACAAAATTATTGGTTCAGGATCATAGAGGGAGGTACAAAAACCTATTAGACACAGACAGTGTTTTGATTTCCAGTTTGCTATGACTAACATAGGGAGCTCTGGTGGCCCAGTTGGTAAGCAGTTGTACTGCCAACAAAGGCAGGCAAGTTCAAACCTACCAGTTGCTTGGCTTGTAAAAGATGGACAGTTTCCTCTTGGATGATTTACAGCCTATGAAAACATCCACTGGAGAGTCAGCTCTGAATCTCTTCTGACACACAACAACAACAACAAAAAATGTTTTCATAAAGAGACTCTCCATAGAAATGGATTCCACAGCAGCCTCTAGGCCATAACTTAGCTGAGAACTTGGACCCTATGCCATTTCTTGTGCTTCTATGGAGCACATTGCCTTCAGAAGCTGAGATATGTTGTGTACTCTACTGGTTCATGCATACATAAACATAAACATGTTTTTAAAAAGGAAAGCAAAAAGGGAAACATATTCTTTCTTCAATGAAAAGACAGATACATTCAAAAAGACTAGTAATAGGGGAGAAAATATTTGAAAGTAGTGTTTTTACATCCAATCAAGTTGATTATGATACGTAGTGACCTTGCCCTATCTTGTACTATCCTCACAATCTTTCCTGCTATAACATGAGTTGCAAAACAAAATTGAAGCCTCAGAAATTGGAGAAAAGAGTGTTCTCATCTTACAATTTGGGATATAGAAGAAACCTGGAATTTCTTTAATACAAAGGGACATACAATTATAGGATGTAACTTTGTTAAGACTTTCAATATACAAAATCCAGAAGCTTTCCAACATACCTCTATGACTATGTAATTTTTTTTTACAGCCTTCATTGTCAAGAAATTTTCTCCTGCCTATCCCTGTAATTCATACTACAGGTAAATAATTTTTGTTGGACTGGAAACAGCTAGTTATCCTCATTTGTTCAGAAATAACTCAGAGCTTCCAAAGAATATTGACTACGAATAGTAGTTAATATGAGAAAAATTGAAGCATAATCTGGAAAAATTAGAAAAATTACTTTGGATTTTGTTTCTAAGTACAGATCACTGCTAAGATTTGAGGGAAACAGGACTCTCACACAATCAACCATCAAATATAAGAAACACATAATGTGTTTGATGAAATGAGTTAGAACATCCTGTACAGGGTTGGGAATATAAGGAGTCCTCAGCAAAAAAATTTATCTTGGCAATATGTGTTAGAACTAGAATTCTGAGTACTTGAAAAATTGAAACATATGAGCTGAAACTGGTAATGGGCAGAAATATGCTGAAGGGAATAGAGATGTGAATTTGTCTGTGACTAGGTACCAAGCTGTCAGAATGGAAGATTCTGATTTTACCCAAGACCGCTCAGTAGAGTGGCAGCTGGGGACCTTTCTGCTCAAGCTTTGGTTGTGATACAACCAAGTCATAGAGTATGCAGGGGACATGGCCTAGAAATCTCTCTGTACTCAGTGGACACAATCATCATTGGACAATCCCTGATGAGTTAGTGATGTCCTGACAAATTCATGGCACCAAGACGCCTGGAAAAGCAATCCTCAGAAACTCTAACCCTTGTGCCAGAATGGTGCATCACAGCAAGAATACAGGCTGGGAAACTAGGTCAGTCAGTAGGAGTATCACTTCCTCATTCTGACAGAATTATGGAATTAGAGGATAGGACAGAGGGAATGTATATGGGGAGGGTTAATCCTAAATTTCTAATGATTTAGTCAATACACACTAAGAAAAAGAGGAGGGTTCTGTCTTAGAAAAATGGCACCAGCCTGTAAAGAAAGGTAGGATCTATAGAATCTAGTGAGATTACTTCCACCTACTTAGTGACAGGTGAAGAAAAGGACAAAGGCTGAGCAGAAGCCTGCACGTTTATGACCCCGGGAACTCTCTGATAATGTTTAGTTATTATCACTATTTTAAAATTTTTAAATTTAGAAAGAGGAAGGGATTTCTAGAGGCTTAGGGGCAAGGAGCTGTACCAGCAGCTCCGAG